CCACTGGGTTTGAAAAACCACTGGCACAGCCTCAGGACCCACAGCAACATGTCACCACAGTAGGACAAACCGACAGACAAGTTTGTCTCCCTTAGCTGTTGGAAACCCCTCCAACCACCCTTACCTGGATCCCTGTGGCTAACTCCTCGATCTGTTCCAGTCCCCTTTGCCTTTTCTATCCTCTCCCTGCTTTCCGCCTCGCTGCTTGTGGGGGGTGGCCTGCGTTCCCTCTCCTCACCTGACTCCCTGTGGTTGACTCCTCGATCTGTTCCTATCCACTTTGCCTTTTCTGTCCTCTTCCTGCCTTCCTAACTTGCTCCTTGTGGGGTGTGGCCTGGGTTCCTTGTCTTCACCTGGGTCCCTGAGGCTGATTCTTGATCTGTTCTGGTCCCCTTTGCCTTTTCTGTCCTCTCCCTGGTTCCCACCTCGCTGCCTCTTCTTAGGTCCCTGGAATCCGAATGAGATTACGAATAAGAAGAGATTATTTATTAACCTAACATCTTCAGCTTATCATGCCTTACCCTCTGTCTAAACTCAAAGAATTGTATACCACCAAAAGTGAATTTTACCATCAATAAATTAAAAAATAAATTTTAAAAGTCTAAAAAAGTAGACAGATGCTTTAAGGTTGAGGGAAGAGGAATGAAGGTGCCAGGAATATTCTATTTCTTTATTTGGGTATAGTTGGCTTTGTGTGTTCATTTTGTTAAAACTTAATCATCTTTTCACTTATTAATTGTATACATTTATGTATGTATGTTATATTTCAATTAAAAATATACATTGAAAGTAAAGAAAGTGAATAAACACAACTTTTTAAATATTAGCTCAAGATGACAATATCTTGTTTCCAAAACAAATGTAGAAATGATTGCCATAGGAATTCATAAATGGGAAACACCACTTTGGGCTGGGATGATCAGGAAAGGATTTATACAGAAAATCTAATCTGAGCTGAGTCCTCAAGGAATATAAATTTAAACAGTTGCAAAAGAGGGTAAGGCATGATAAGCTGAAGATGTTAGGTTAATAAATAATCTTTCCTTATGGTTTAATCCAATTACTTTTATCAAAATAATAGTGATAAGAATAATAGTGAACACTGGGGGGGGGTACATGGGGCTATTCACTAAGTACAAATTAAAGTTCCAAGTAGTTTAACACTTTCCACTAAACTTCTCAATATCTCGATTAGATTGATAGTATCATTATCCCCATTTCACAGATGAAAAACCTGAGATCCAAGCCACACAGTTAATCACTGACAGAATAATACAGATCTATCTGACTCCTATGGCATTTACTCCTTATTCCTACCTTCATTCTGACTTGACTCATTACAGCTAGGGGTGGCTACATGACCCATTTCCAGCAAATGGGAAAAAAGTGGAAGTTTGTTTGTAACTTCCTTGGAAGGCTTTTCCTTTTTACACACACACACACACACACACACACACCCCTCTCTTGATACCAGATATTGCTGGAACCATTCTATCCACCCTGACTTAAATGTGATTATAAATCCTGTCCTCATGACAATGAGGACAGGTATGAAAAATATAAAAATGTTGAGTCTCTAAACTATGGCAATAGCTACCTACTTCTAGACTTCTTGCTATGTGGGGAGGGGCACCTCTACTTAATGCCATGTTTGTCAGACTTTGTTTGTACATTTGACAATATTCCTAATGAATACAACTCCAAAGCCCATACTCTTATTCACCAAAATACATTGCCTCTCATCTGTAAAATACAGAGACTAAGACCTGCTATTCTACTTCCCTCAGAAGAGTTCTTAAGAACTTCAAATTAGAAGGTTCGTATACAAATGCCTTGAAAAATAAAAAATATTATACAAATGTATTACTGTTTTAAAAACAGTCATTCTCAACTAAGGGAAGAGACAGGAGAGCATACACCCAATAGAGACATGGGACTGGCAACATTCTCCCAGTTGGACATATCAGAATTACCTGGGGGAATCTTCCACAATACACATGTCCCATCTTAAGAATTGCTGCCCTGGTGAACCCTCTCTAACAAATGAGATGATAAGCATAGCCTAAAGACAAATTCAGAGGGGAATAAATGTTGAGAAGCAGAATTTTATTATATTAGTGGGGTATATTAAACACAAAGGTATTAAGATAGCATAATGATTTATTAAAAAAAAAAAAATTCTTGATTCCATAGGGAAACAAATCAACTTTGAATTTTCTTAAAATAATCCTTTTTATATGAATAACTGTAACAAATAATAAACAATAGTACAACCCAACAAAGCTTACATGAACTAAATAAAAGGATCAATGAGTTAGCAGGAAAAAAAAACTTCAATATGTTTCAGGGAAAGGCTAGAAAATTCCAAATATTTATTCAAATGTTTTAAAAATGTCCTTTTCATTTTAACCTCCCATAATAGAGGTCATTACTACTCTCTGATTAAGAAAGCAACAGTCCTTTAGAATGTTGAACTCAAATTACTCATATCTCAGGTCCCAAATAACTGTTTTTTGTATTTATTTGATATAGTGCTAGTATTTTTCAATCAATAAATATTTGTTGAGTGCCTACTAAGTGCTAAGCATTGTCCTTGGCTCTGGTATACAGTATTAAAGAAAACACTCAAAACTCCTTGTCTTTATGGCACTGATTTTCCACTGCAAGTAGAAAGTAAACAAACAATAAGAAAATACAGTATACTATATGTCAGTTGATGAAAAGTGCTATAGTAAAAAAAAAAAGAGAGAAAGAAAGGTGGAAGGTGAAACAGGCAATATAGGGCAGTAGAGAGAGAGTGAATTTGTGTGTGTGGGGGTGTGCGTGTGTGCACGCGCGTGCATATGCATTTTCACATGTGTATGCATGCATGCGTATGGGAAAGGGGTGCACAGAATGCTAAAATTCTAACTATCATGGTCAGAAAAGGCTGCATTGACATGCTGATACCTGTACTATGACCTGAAGTAGCTAAGGAACAAAATCATAGCCATGCACCTATTTGCTTTAATGCTAATTCTTTTTCTGTTGAATATATCATTTGAAATGGGTCAAGAAAGAATGATAAAAAGGACACTGTTTTTCCTTATAGGTCATTCTTGTCTACTATAATCAAATAAAAAAAAAAAAGGAAAAAAAGACATTCCAATCATTGGTAGCCCTCTTAATCTATTTCACTGTTGTTTTATCTGCCTTTTGAGAAAAAGTTTCAATGTTTATTTTATTTCCTTAGGTTACAAATATATTTATTTCTTAAAACTCCCAATACATTTTCAAATTTTTTTAGTCTTAAATGAGCCCAAATTTCATCATGGGCTAAAATTTTAAGACATAAAATGACTGCTGAAACTGAATTTTAATCATATGGATGAATCACAACATACGTCTTTAGCTAGGCATGTATTATGGATAAGTCTCATTTTCTACAGAGAATAATCACATGTTCTAATTACCATTTTGGTTATACGCATAATTAATAATATTCTGCCTTAATGGGACACACTGAATCTTCAGACAGTTGCAAAGCTTTAACTATGCATACTGCCAAATCCAACTGTCAGTTGCACTGCCAAACACAAAGGAATCTTGATGTAGTGTCTTAGCATTGGTAACAATATACATCTCTTTATACATGATACAATGAAAAACTTAATTGCTCTTCTTCTTTCAAAAATTTTTCCACACTAATAATTTTACATTGCTTGATTAATCATTTATCCTAAATTATATATATTGGCCAGTGATCTTATGAGCAATAAAAACATAAACATAAATGTAACTCAAGATCCAAAGAAGAAGAAAATACTGTAGGACAAGGACTTACTGATTGTAAACTTTCATTTTCACGTAAACAAGCTGTATGAAGTTCTGATTTCAAGGTTGCAATGTGATTTCGATGAGATGTCATTTCCTTTTCCAATGTAGAAATTCTAGCACTTGCAAGCTGGTAGACATCCATGAAACTTTTAATCATAGCCTTAAGAAATAAAAATAATGTCACATACAATTCAAGTAAAGCTGTCCCCAAAGGAGAATTTGAAAGCAAAATCATTAAAATTTTAAAGTAAACAACTTTTCATCTTTCTTTAAAATATAAAGCTAAATCTCAAATTTTATATTGAGAACAGTGACTATTTTAAGAAAGTTTGGGAAAAAAATAATTGAGACTTCATTTTCAGAGTATTTATTTAAATAAGATGTACTTTGATCTATTGTGCTTAATATTTAAAATTCAATTTTTTAAAAGATGACACTTATTTTCTACTAAAGTTAAATTCAAGTTACAATTTCCCCTAAATTTCAATCTTAAGAGACACAAAACAGATGGATTAATAAACAGGATTATTTCAAAATAAGCTGAGTTAATAAAACTTTCAATCCATCTACCAAGCAAATGTTTTAAAACAAAAAGAGCTGAAACAATCTTGTGAATTTTTAAAAGTAAATACAATTCATATAATGTAAGAAAAGCATAATTATGTTCATTCACATTCAAGAGGAATGTCCTTGCATTATACAATTCATAATAAATAACACAGCCCCCAAGTGTTGGTAACTTTTTTATCTCCTCTAAAAATCAGTATATTTTTGGGGGATTATTAAACCTCCTTATTACTATTTGATTGTATTTATACATTTTTTCTTCTAAAGTAACCTGTAGTGACCTAAGTTCAAGAATACTACTATGGTTTTTAAAAAGTCTTTCTTTAATACTTGAAACATTAAAAAAAAAAAAAACTCACTGCCATTGAGTCATTTTGGACTCATAGCGACCCCTCCTTGGGTTTCTGAGGCAGTTATCACTACGGAGGTAGATTGCCCAACCTTCTTTCCAAGGAGTGGCTAGTGGGTTTGAACTGCCAGCCTTCTGGTTAGCAGTCAAATGCCTTGGTCACTACCCCACCAGAGCTCCCACTTGAAACACAGCAAAATAAAATCAAATGTTATATTATTTACAAGAAAAAAATATTACAACCACAGCTACAACGGAGTTCAATGATAGTCTGAGAATTAAATTGCATTCAATCTGAAGGGTATGATTATGGAAAGCTTTGGGAAACTAGATATTGAAGCAATTCTAAATGCAAGTAATAATTTGGTGAACAAAGAGTAAGAAATAGTGTACACAATGCCTGAGAAACAGAAGGAGATTAGTTATTTGTAGGTAAGGTGAGAAAAATTCATAATTTTATGCCTAATAAATTACTATTTGTCCTCAAAAATCATGTTCTGACAGCACTTCCTTCAAGAAGCCTCTTTGAAGCCCAAAGGCAGCGTTAACTTCTATCCTGGTTCTCTGTGGGTCTCTCTGTGCATTTATTGGCATAGCAGAAATTTATTAGTTTACCTGCTTATCATTTTCACTAGACTGAGGGGCACCTACAGCTAGGACTGTGTCTTATACATCTCTGTATCTTCAGGGGATGAGAGTGGCCCACAACGAGTACTTGTTTGACTGACTGATGACTAAATTAATGACTGAGTGAAACAAAAATTAGAAAGGACCCAAGACTACAAGTTGAAGCAATATATTGGCAAATACTACCTTATAGGAAAGGATGAAGGTATTTGGGAAAATGCAATCATAACACTCAATCTAATGATTGATTATCAGTATTTTTTGTTCCAAGCTGAAAAAGAAGCAAAAGCATAGCTGTAGGCATAAAATAATGCAGTAAACAAAAGTAAATTCTATTACACAACACAAAATAAGCCGTCCTAACCCACCTTATGTTCAGTCATTTCAAGGGAAGTTTATAACTAATGTTGTTGTTAGGTGCCAATGAGTCGATTTTGCTATATAGGGTTTTCTTGGCTGTAATCTTAACAGAAGCAGATTGCCAGGCCTTTTTTTATGTCTCTGGGTTTCAAAAGTATGTAAAATTACAAAATTACTAAATCATATCTATGTGTTCCTATGCCAAGTCCTTCTTTACTCTTATAAATTCATTATCTTCTTCACAGAGAGAGTAGACCAGGTACCACAAGTGGTTTTTTCTGGTCCTCACTCTGCCACTTTCTTAGCTTTAGGTTGTTGGGCAGTGCCACTCAATCTCTCTGAGCTACCATCTCCTCAACAATAAAATGGGAAGAAGAGTCATTTTCTTGCCTACTTCTAAAAGTTGTTGTTGTTGTTGTTATGTGCCGTTGAGTCGGACCCGACTCATAGCGACCCCTCCCTTGGGTTTCCGAGGCAGTATCACTACAGAAGTAGATTGCCCCATCTTCCTTCCGAGGATTGGCTGGTGGGTTTGAACCGCCAGGCTTCTGGTTAGCAGTCAAGTGCCTTAGACACTATGCTATCAGAGCTCCCAAGTAGTGAGGTTCAAATAATTAAAATAGCTAACATTTATTGAGTATTTATTGCTGTCCAGGAACTGTGTAAGCATTTTACATGCTTTATTTCATTTATCGTTAAAATATGGAATAGACACTATTTTCAACCTAGTTTTCCAAAGTGAAAAACAGGGTCCTGGAGAAAGTAACTAACTTGTCCAGGATCACAGTCCTGGCAGTCAGGATTCAAACTCAAGTGCATTCAGTGCAAAGCCAATCTCTTAACCATTTAACTTAGTGTTTCTAATATAAGTAACTCACTGCTGTTGAGTTGGTTCCAACTCAGAGTGACCCTCTAGAACAGAGTAAAACTGCCCCATAGAGTTTCTAAGTCTGTAAATCTTAACAGAAGCAAACTGCCACATCTTTCTCTCACAGAGCAGCTGGTGGGTTCGAACCACCAACCATTAGTTAGCAGCCAAACACATTAACCACAGCTCTACCAGGGCTCCTCTGATATAAGAAAGCCCTAAAAAAAAAAAAGGTTAATTTCTGAATTTCATTATAGTATTATTATTGATCCAAATAAATTCTCTACTAAAGCCTTAATGAGACAATTTGCTATTTCACAGAAAAAATCATTCCTGTGATAGGTGATGTGTGTGTGTTGTATATAAGAATCTAAAATGTGTAAAAAGCATGAAGAAAATGTATAAATGCTTACTGAATGAAAAATAAAAGGAAATTTTTTTCTATCAGTAATAGGCTCCTAGATTATTTCATTCTAAGTCACAACAGAATAAGTATTCTTATTGTCCTAAGTAATATTCTAAAAGGATTTCCTTACTAATATAAATTATAGTCTCTCAAATGTCTTTTAAAAACATAGTATATTTTTTTGAGAATAATGTCAGAATATGTATATGATTGTATGGAACAAAAATCATAATTATTTTGGCTCCTTCCTTGATCTACTTTTAATACCTAAATTCTAATATCCAGTGTAATATTAGCAGAAACCCATATTATTTCTTTATAATCCTGAAAAAAATTATAATAACAATCCAATTTTTGCTTAGGACTTAGACTCTTGAACATTTAAAGTTTTTTAAAGCTGTGTTTCATTTCATAGACTCAAGCAATTTTGTCTAATACTGAACATAATATTTTCAGAGCAGCCAGATGCAGTGATTAATACAGAAAGCATGTTTCATGATATGATAATATGTAAAATATACTGTTATTGTTTTGTGCTGTCAAGTCGGACCTGACTCACAGCAACCCCTCCTTGGGTTTCCAAGGTGGTATCACTATGGAAGTAGATTGCCCAACCTTCCTTCCAAGGAGTGGCTGGTGAGTTTGAACTGCCAGCCTTCTGGTTAGCAGTCAAGTGCCTTAGGCTATACTTCTCTAAAATGAGAACCTCGATGAAATACCAAAGTTACTCAAAGAAATAGATCTTTTGAGGAACAAAGAATGTCAAATTCCAGTATTTAAAAGTCATTCAAACTATTTGTTAAGGATTGAATTATATGCCAAAAAATGTGTGTTGTAGATCTGTGCCTCTATACCTGTGGATTGGGAGTGGATTTTCTTTGCTGTGTTAATGGAGAAGTATTAGTATAGGGTGTGTCTTAAATCACTCACACCCTTTTTGAGATACAAAAAGAGCAGACTGGGCAAGCAAGCAAGCAGAGATAGGGGAAGACAGACACCATGCCACATGAAGATCACCACAATCACCAAGGAATAGAAGCTGAAGAGACAAAGCCTTCCCCCCAGAGACCACAGACAGAGAAAGGCTTCCCCTAGAGCTAGGACCCCGAATTTGGACTTCTAGCCTCTTAAACTGTGAGAAAATAAATTTGTGTTTGTTAAAGCCACCTACTTACGATATTTCTGCTATAGCAGCACTAGATAAGTAAGACACTATGCAATGAAGGATGCCAGTGAAAAATCCAACTCTTCATTATAAAAGAAATGCAAATGACAGTCAGAATCAACTGGCAGGAGGAGAGGAGGAAAGAGGTAGTAAATACCTAATGACTTCTGCATCAGTTTCCTAAAGTCTAAGCCTTCACAGCAAACAGAAATCCAGAAGATTAATATTAACTTGTAAGAAGTGGGATAACAAATTGAGAGGGCAAAAGAGTAGAACTGAATCAACAGATGACAGAATTAGTGAGAATGCAAATTTCGCAATACCACTTTGTTAAGGGAACAATCAGAAAAAAGAAAAACATACACAAGACCAAACATAGGTTCAGCAGATGACACTCCTACAAACATATTTGTATGTGCTATTAAAAAAAAAGAAAGAAAGAAAAAAGAAAAATGAAGAAAGCCTAACATTTATGTGGGGCACCATCAAGACGAATAATTTGCATGTGCTCTGAATTCCAGAACACAAAGAGACAAATAAAACCACACAGAAAACTGTCAAAGATTCATCCGAAAAGAATGTCTCTGACATGATGAAAGATGAAAAGATATGCATTCAAGAAGTTCAATAAACCCCAAATGGGACAGACCTCAAAAGAAAATCCCCAAGACATAAGATAATCAAATTTTCCAAAACCAAAGACAAAGAATCCTGAAAGCAATCATTTGTTTTTAGTTAAAAAAAGATACCTACAAAGGACAACTAATAAGACTAACTTCTGATCTCAGCAAAAACTATGCAGGTGGGAAGGCAATAGG